TGAAATGTTCTAGCATATAACCTGGTGGGTTAGCAATGCAAATCTTAAGAAGTTCTGTTCAAGATAATGTCTATGGCAGTTAGATATGGAAGAGGCTTATATGTCAGTAGTCATGTTTACTGTTGTCTCATCCTGCTCCACTAATTACTTGTCAGCTTTGTCTCCTGAAATCAGGAGTATGAAATTTTCCTTATGCTTCTCTGTAGCATTGGATTAGACTCTGATCACTTACAGGATAGGGGCAAGTGAGGAATTAGAAAGGCCAGGCAGTTACTGCTGTCCTCTTCCTTGTGCCATACCAGGAGCAAGACACTCTGGCAGATGCTGAGGAACGATGTGACTTGCTGATTAAATCCAAGATTCAGCTGGAGGCCAAAGTCAAAGAACTGACAGAGCGGGTTGAGGATGAGGAAGAGATGAATTCTGAGCTGACTTCTAAGAAGAGAAAATTGGAAGATGAATGCTCTGAGCTCAAGAAGGATATTGATGATCTGGAAATAACACTTGCAAAAGTAGAGAAAGAGAAGCACGCTACTGAAAACAAGGTACCTCTAGGACTTCACCATGTATTCAAAAAGAGGTTGGGTATATATTCAGAAGAGATTGAGTATGGATTACCTTTATGAGAGCTACCAGTCTTCTGATGGCTTTACACTGTTACACAGGCCACACTGAAGGATCAATATATGCACAGTTATTAGACCTTATGAGGGAAAAGGCGTTAACTCTGAGCCCTAAGTTTCCCTTTTTCTGGAGTGAGTTTTGCTGCATTTCATCTAAAGGATTATGTGTACTTTGTGCTTTTTTAATTATATAATTTTCTGCTGTAACAGTGAGCTCATCTAGATCTTCTTCTCAGAGCCTGTAAATGTAAAGCTCATCTCCCACTTCTCCCAGAGAGAATCAAAGGCTGCAGGCCAACACAATGAGAGTGACACTGAAAAGAATTTAGTATATTTGAAAGAATGTACTAAATCCACAAGAACTGGCACACATCGGCTCCCTGATGGCAATTTCACTCAAAAATCCACAGGGAGGCAAGGAGGGAGAGATCCCTTTCTTCCCATTGTCTTCCTGCATCCAAGTTCAGTACAGACAGTCATTTGAGCCAGGTTATAATAACCCCTTGCTTCAAAGGCCTACCAGTACATCTTCCTTTCTCACACAGGTCAAAAATCTGACAGAAGAAATGGCAACTCTTGATGAGAACATCAGCAAACTCACTAAGGAGAAAAAGTCCTTGCAGGAAGCTCATCAGCAGGTTCTGGATGACCTGCAAGCAGAGGAGGACAAGGTCAACACACTAAGCAAAGCTAAAGTGAAGCTGGAACAGCAAGTGGATGATGTAGGTTGGCTCTACCTTCATGTTTTCCCAGGCTTGTTTGTCCAGCACTTAACGGTTTTCATGAGTCTGGAATGCTGCAAAACTTTGACCTGTGTTCCTGTCCTTTGAGAGATAATTGATTTAGGTCACAGACAGTCCATGTACTGTCTGTAAAAGGTAAAATTACAGAAATACTGTAAGACATTATCTGTGTAGTTCAACCTCTGAAGGGAGTGCAATAACAAGGGGAGATCCATTCAGTTTGCATTAGCAGTGTAACTAGCATGAAGTCAAACAGAACTTTGCTAGTAAGAGAATTGTAATGCACAAATGTAAAGCATGGATAACCCTTATGTGATATTATTTCCATAGCCCATATGCCCACTGGCTGCTAGAAAACAAAAAATGATAATTGGAATGCTTGTACTCAAGTACTTCTGCTTTGCAACTTGCTAGAACTCAGCACAAAACCCAGCTCACCATACATCTGACTGTCGTAAACCATCTGTGTTCAATATCCTTCATAAGTTACTTTGTTCCTAAAGCTTGAGGGCTCGCTTGAACAAGAGAAGAAAGTGAGGATGGATCTAGAAAGGGCCAAACGCAAACTGGAAGGGGATTTGAAGCTGACCCAAGAGAGTGTCATGGACTTGGAGAATGATAAGCTGCAGATGGAAGAAAAGCTAAAGAAGTAAGAGACTGATTCTGTTACGCAAAATAAAGCAATGAAAGCAGTGTCAGAGCTTTCAGTGTCATCTTGCTCTGCTGGTGGTAAAAGGAAATTCCACGACAAGTGTGGAGCCAGGGAGGGAGGGAAAAGTCACTCTTTCTTGTGCATGGTATGCCTGAAACATTCCAATTCATGAAGCTTTCCACCATTGGAAAGAAAAAGGTTGTTTATGTTTTTCAGTCTCTAAGCAGTTGTTCATGCTCACTAGCTATGACAGTTAAGACCTGATGGTTATATTTATGACACAAAGAATCAGAAATATATTGCCCAAATGCATGCAGAGCCCTGCCTTGGAAACCTCTGCTCAGAGGAAGATGTGCTTTCCTGCAAATCACAATACATGAGGATTGCTTTAATTTTTAGATGAGTTAAAAGTTTTATTGAACATCTCCTTAAAAATAGCAAAAGCCTAACTTGAAACTACAGGAAGAATTGTCACTGTGGAATTTTACTTTTCCATGGCAGGAAAGAATTTGAAATGAGCCAGCTGAATTCCAAGATAGAAGATGAACAAGCTATTGTGATGCAGCTGCAGAAGAAGATCAAGGAACTTCAGGTTAGCTTGCTTCTTTCTCATGTATCTTAGGATGAGTTTCTCTTTGTGCTTCATTGAAGGGCTTTGCAGAGACTTTTCATGGCTAGCTGCAGCTCCATAGCTTCCCAGACCAATCCTTTTCCCCTCAGGATGCTTGCTCTATAGTGGTTCCGTCCCAGTAGTAGGACATATGACCACAGAATGCTAGAGGTTTTAAGCAAGGCAGGAAGGCCCTGGTGTTGTGTTTGAAGCAAACAATATTGTTCCAAACAATATTGTACCCTCATGGACCTGAGGGTAGATGCAGCAGTGATAAGCATGGCTTTGAAATTTAGGGGAGGAACTCAAATGCACAGGAAATTTTCAAGTGAAATGACAAGGCCAAAGAAAGTCAGCACGGTCCAAACCTAATGTCTTGACCCAAAGCTCTGCTTGTCAATAAAGAACATTTGCATACATTGGTCATAAAGTATAGATTGGTCAAGATAAGTGCCATTAAAAAAAATAGACTGCTTCCCATGAATATTCATTATTCAAGCGATTCTACACATTGCTGTGTCTGAAATCCTGTCTCAATGCTCCTAAACAGAACTTATTTTGGTCACTCTTAAAATGGGAACAACGAGTCCCTTTCAGTGACAATTTGTTGCTGCTACTCCTACTATCAGTCAGGTTCTCTCCTGTACTTCAGCTAAATGTCAAATACCTGAGTGTAAAGTCAATGCACTTGACCTATATGTCCTGAACTACAGCTTGTAGAGCAATCTACTGTGAGAAAGATGTGACTCATCATCCTTAGTCTAGTTTAAGATCTAATTTCCTGGCACAAATGACCAAGTCCTTTACCTACTGCACTTCTGCGTTGTAAAGCATGGGCTGGCAGAGGGTTTAACAATTTGTAAGGTTCTTTGTGGTCTTATGGGAATCATCATGAAGGCGACTAAATGTGTTTGTGTCTCTTTTGTAGGCTCGCATAGAAGAACTCGAAGAGGAGCTGGAGGCAGAAAGAGCTGCTCGAGCCAAGGTGGAAAAGCAGAGATCGGATCTGGCCCGAGAGCTGGAGGAATTAAGTGAGCGCCTTGAGGAGGCTGGTGGAGCCACGGCTGCCCAGCTGGAGATGAACAAGAAGCGGGAGGCCGAGTTCCTGAAGCTGCGGCGGGACCTCGAGGAGGCCACGCTGCACTACGAAGCCACGGCTGCCACCCTGAGGAAGAAGCACGCAGACAGTGTGGCTGAGATGGGGGAGCAACTGGACAACCTGCAGCGCGTCAAGCAGAAGCTGGAAAAGGAGAAAAGCGAGCTCAAGATGGAAGTGGATGATCTGTCGTCCAACATGGAGCAGATGGTCAAGGGAAAAGTAAGGGTCCTGAGGCTTCCCAAACCACTAAAGGTCATGTGTAGCTGAGGTTGGTCTGAAGCTTTCCCAGGGTACCTGATAGGGCTTCTAATCACTGTACATGCTCAGAGGAGGGATTTTAATCTGGGCCGGGCTCTTTCTGACCTGTGGGTGTGATTTTTAGTACTATAAAGAAGGCAGTTTGCTTCAGGGCACCTTCAACTGGGCAGAAGTTGGTTCTTTTGCCAAGCTGATTAATCAAATGGTCACTTTGCCAAGCTGTCAAAGAACTCATCCTTGGTGCTACCAATCCTATGTGTTCTACTTTGAAACAGGACCAGAACCTGGTTTTACTCATGAATTCCTTACTGTTAGAGGTTCATCCTGACCCAAGATGCAGTAACTGTGACTATGAACTGCAGGTGTACAATATAGATTATATCAATCCTTCCTTTGGTTCACAGTTTTGACATGTTAGCAAGGAGTGCAAAGCAAGGCTCGCATGACTACCATGTGTATTTTTACTTCCTACGGCTGAATTCTGGATTTTGTTTCCTGATTAGACAGTCTTGGTAGCTTTCAGAGCATTCTAAAGAGTTCTTTCAGTGCAAGTGGTGAAATTTCAGTATTCTGAGAGTTAGAAAGCTGTAATCAAACTCAATTTATGATAAATAGCAATTAAAGCAGAATCAGTAGAGCAATTTTCATTGGAGGTGATTTTCCCATCTAGTAATTATGAGGAGGCTATGCCCCAACCTCATAGCCACGTGATTGCTTCTGAAGTTCTTGCAGAATCATTTTACACTGCTGCTTCCATTCAGAACACACTTCAGGGTCTGATGGGGAGTCCCCTGGCCTGGGGCTGTAGACACAGGGATCCTATTCCCTGCCTTACCGCTGTGGTGGTTTTGGTTTTGCTACCTGCTATTCCTCTGAAGAACAAACAAACAAAACATGGATCCATTTGGAATGCTGCAGCTTCCAGATGGCTGCCTGGAGGCTGCAGCTTTGATTGTCTTTTCTCCTGATTCCCATTAGGCGAACGCAGAGAAGCTCTGTCGCACTTACGAAGATCATCTGAATGAGACAAAAACGAAACTGGAGGAAATGACTCGCCTCATGAATGACCTCACTACTCAGAAGACAAAACTCCAGAGTGAGAATGGTATGTGCACAGTCAGGCCAGACTGTTTCCCAGTGATCTACCAGGTGTGCCTCAGCACTGCATTGGTGAGCTGTATTGTGCAATGGCATCTGCTCTGAAGATGGATGGATTAGGATTGCTGAATGGAGCAGTAGCTTTGTGTCTTTTGACACTCATATCTTCAATGTTTTTATCACCTTGGTGGGGAGACCTTTCTTGGACTGGCTCTTAAAGCAAACCCATAACTGTATTTACCAGCATACTGTGATACCTTCTCCTGAGCTGAAAGGGATGCACTGGCTAGGTACGCAGTTTGCGGAACAAGGATGTGTACGTCTATGTTGCAATAGTAGAGGGAGGACAAAAGAGTCAGCATACTGTTTCTGTCTTTATGGATACCATCATCCTCAGTGTGAGCTTGGGCACTGCACTCTAGAAGATGCTTACATCTGACCAAAAATGCCACATATTAAGTGCTTGCTACCTTTTTAGCCATAGTTCTGCTATTTAATCTCTGCATCCTCATCGGACAGCAGTGCTCTGTGTATTTACAAAGACGTTTTTCATTTCCTGTGTGTGTCCTTGTTAGTTCTATGTACACCTGTAAAGCTGCAGTTTCCACCTCGCAATCATGCCCTCCGTGTGATAAATGAAGTTTTCCTAATGTATCTCTCTGCTCTGTATGCTGGTCATTGTGAGGTTCTCGGGGTGCTTTGCAGCCCTCTGAAAAGACGTCTGTGGAAAAGCATGTAAAGTAGTGGAGAAAAGTATAGACAAACCCAGCTACAACTGCGCATGAAAGTAAGCATCAGCCTAAGCTGATCCATGAGCTGAACTAAAATTAACGAATCAAGGTATTGGCAGCACAAAATAATAACAACAACAAAACAAAAAATCCCCAAAACCATAACCCTAAAGGAAAATATCCTGGTGAAGTGTGTAATGGTTACAGCTTCGGGAGAAGCTTCACAAATGGCCAGACACAATCACTGCTAGCTCTTATCCTCAGCAGAATTGGACAGGCAGGACTTTGATTTTGTCTGGGCCTTTGCCATTTCATCATCTCACCTTTTCTTGGTTATATCCTATGGCAGGTGAATTTATAAGACAACTTGAAGAGAAGGAGTCGTTGATAAGTCAGCTGTCCCGGGGAAAAACATCATTTACGCAACAGATTGAAGAGCTTAAGAGACAGCTAGAAGAGGAAACCAAGGTAAGTCTTTGACTGTGTCCCATTCATTGCCTTGAAATGGGGAATATTTTTCATGTTCATTTGGAGCCTGGATAAAATCTGAAATGAAATATAGGAGTGAGAATGCTTCCTGGTAATTGTACTGACAAATGTTCCTGCCGCTGACTGAGGCAAGTCACAAAAGAAGAGCTTGGGAGAATAATCAGCATCCATAATTGTTACATAAATCTTACCCAGTAGGATAGCCAAAATCTCAAATCTTGTATCTTAAAAGTTTGGATGCTTCTTCAAAGATGTTAAATTATCTTCAGTCTTAATAGCTTCCTCAGCATGTCACCAGTTAGGGATGACTCCAAACGCCTCTTACCTCGTTTGATCCAGGCTGTCAGGGCTAGAGGCAAAAAGACAAAAAGGCTTAAGCCTCCGTCTGAACTTCTAGGGCTGTTTGTTCAGGTTTTGCTGTAGGTAACCCTGCAGTGCTGTGACCTTTCTATCCCTGCAGTCCAAAAATGCCTTAGCTCATGCCCTGCAAGCAGCCAGGCATGACTGTGATCTCCTGCGGGAGCAGTATGAGGAGGAGCAAGAAGCCAAAGCAGAGCTGCAGCGGGCTCTGTCCAAGGGAAATGCAGAAGTGGCCCAGTGGAGAACAAAGTATGAGACTGATGCCATTCAGAGGACTGAGGAGCTGGAGGATGCCAAGTAAGTGGATTATGTGGGTTTCATTGTGCCCTTGGCTGGCAGGATTGTGCTCTCTATTGTTATAGTGTTAAGGAAATAGGGCACAATGGTTGGAAAAATCCCTCTGGATTATTGGTGTCATTTGTGGCTGTCTTTCTTTTCAGTTTGTTGAGCAGGTCAGTGTTTCTGCTAAGCCCTTGTCTGGGGTGATGGATGTGGATACTGGGGTTTGTTTAAGAACTGACTAGATTAGATTACCCGACTTGGTCATCTTGCACACTCACTTGCTTTGCGTGGCCCAGTGCTATGTTCCCTTGGTCTTGACTTCCCCTCCCAGCAGGGAGATGATGGCTTCCCTGGAAAGGCAGGGCAGAAAGTCATGTTGGCTTGCCCTGTGCAGCCACTCTCAGCTACCAGACTCAAGCGTTACTGCACAAGATCTCTGAGCATCTGCAGCACCTGCCTCTGTGGGTCTCTGATCTACAGTTTTCCCCACTTCCCACTTTATCCACCTAGCATCTACATGTTCTTTATGGGCCCTCCTTTCTTTCCAGAAGCTTTTCTTGCTGGGACTCCCATTCCCCTGTTTTCCCAATCTAAATAGTCTATGAACAAAAGCCCAAGGCATGACTGGACTTCTGCCTCATATCTCTTAACTGGAGGAACAGGACACTTTCATTTAGACCAAGTCTGATTCGAATTTACAACCAGACTATAGTGGTTACAGCTAGCAAGTAGCAAGCTGCTGCTTGAGAGTTCAAACTTTCAGTTTCAAATATTCTAACACACACATATGCACAAAATTATGTGCCACACATCAGCATTCATCATTTAAACTTGTTTTTTTGCCTATCACAGTCCCTTCTCTCTAGAGGCCTAATTTCCCCTTCCCTTCTCCTTACCCCCCAACTTTCCTTTTCAGAACTGATTTATTGAGACACTGCTTGGGGTCAGTTTTCATTAGATACCATGGGAGTGGTGGCACTCAGCCATTTCACTGTCTCTTCCCACCTGGCAGGAAGAAGCTTGCTGCTCGCCTGCAAGAAGCTGAAGAAGCAATCGAGGCAGCCAATGCCAAGTGCTCTTCCCTGGAAAAGACAAAGCACAGGCTGCAGAACGAGCTGGAGGACATGATGATTGACCTGGAGAAGGCCAACTCAGCCGCTGCCTCCCTGGACAAGAAGCAGCGTGGGTTTGACAAGATCATCAATGACTGGAAGCAGAAGTACGAAGAGTCACAGGCTGAGCTGGAGGCTTCTCAGAAGGAGGCCCGTGGCCTCAGCACTGAGCTCTTCAAGCTGAAGAATGCCTACGAGGAGACGCTGGACCATCTGGAGACATTGAAAAGGGAAAACAAGAACCTCCAAGGTAGGCTTCATTCCCATCCCATGTCCAGTGTGAGAGCCACACTGCAGCACAGCTGGAAGGATGCAGGGTTCCCATAGCAGCTGTGGGGAGAGGTGTTTATCTCATCCTTGAGACTAGCTTTCCGTTATGTTTGGAGGCACTGGCTGATGCTGGCGATGAAGGCTTTAAACATAGTAAATGGTACAGACAGAGGAGAACAGGCTTCCCTTTGCTCACCTGTCCATGAAGCTCACTGGCAGAGCTGCCAGTCTGGAGAGGAACAAGAAAGATGACAGAGGTGCAGGGGATGAAGCCTAGACAGCTCCCAAAGCAGAGCGCAGTGCAGCTGGCCTCCAGAACACAGATTAAAACTAAACCACTATAACCACCTCAAAAAGTGTGTGCAAGGAAGTCTGCTCCTTTCAGTTGGTCAGGTAAAAGAAGTTGATGTAACTAAGGCAGCGCTTGTGTACAGGCAAGCCCTTGAGGTAGCAGCTTGAGGCACAGGTCCTTCCATCCATGCTCTGTGACTTGCAGTACGTTTGGGACACACTGATGGCTAAATCCATCCTTTTTTCGTTTCAGAGGAGATTTCTGATCTGACCAATCAGATCAGTGAAGGAAACAAGAGCCTCCACGAGATAGAAAAAATCAAGAAACAGGTTGAACAAGAAAAGTCAGAAGTTCAGCTGGCCCTGGAAGAAGCAGAGGTAAGGAAAGAAAGCTCAAAGGGAGAGGAAAGGGTGTCTTCCCATTTCATCTTCTCAGCAACATAGCCAGTGTTTTGACTGTAAGCAAGCGCACCCTCTCTGCAGTCAGCTCCTCCAGCCTTGCTAGCCAGTGTTTTCAAGAGAGACTGATGACTTTTGGAGATGTCAGCTCTAAGACCATCACTGGAGGCCCTTTCAAAGGAGGTGCCTTGTAGGTTTTGGGGTTTTGTTGTTGTGTTGTGGGGTATTTTTTTCCCCTTTCAGGAAGCTCAGACATCTTCTGCACACTTCCTGAAAACCCAGTTCTTGCTTACTTCAGCACAGAGTCTTTCAGGAAACAGGAACTGCTGGGAATTATGGTCTTATACTGTTTTATCAGATATTTTTAGTGTCTGGTTTCCAACAGCAAATTCACCATCTCCTGGTTTTAGAGAAGAAACCAAACCTCCTGATGACTTTAAGTTTTGTAAGGTCATAAATATTGCATTGGATACTGCAGCCTCCTGGTAACAGTCCCAAACCAAACGAAAACAGGCCATTTGGAAAATCTTTGACTCCCAGTAGGAGTTTCATAAAGACATTTAGCCTCTCTGCATGAATTTCTATAGTGACAAGTATGCAAGTACCCAAGAGGGATGCCTCATCCCAGTTTCCAACAAACAAACCACAATACAGGACAAGTCAACTGGCAATACTGGTTATCCACTCAAAGGGCTCATTTGTCAGCTTTTTGGCAGTCTGGTACATTACAAAGCTAAGAAAGGGAGTAGGTGTTGCAGGCTGGAAGCAATACAGCACACAGCAAGGAATTTTTAGTGAAGGCTGCATTTACCTGCAATTGTACTCTAAATAATATCTGCTAAAACAAGCATCATCCAGTGACAGGGATCCATTAATACCTTACATGCTGTGCAACCTCTTTTGTCTGTTACAGGATGCTTTATACTTTGCAGGGATTTCACAGCCAAATAAACAGGTCTCATGATCAGAGCAGAGGAAAAAGCTTGCCTTTCTTCCACAGCTCTGAGATGTGGAGAGTGTTTATATACTCTATCAGTATCTTTTTCCAGGAAAGAATACATCAGTTCCTGAGGGATTGAAGTGACACACTTTACTTTCCTGGGCTGTGTGGAATGGCTTCCTAAAGTTCAGTGATATTAGGAACTAACAAAAGTAAAGTGGTGATGTATCTTATGTGAATTGTGAAAGAAAGGGTTTAATGCAGGTTTTCTCCTTTCCTTGTGAACTGGGGTCCCTGGCAGTCACCACTGGTGACACAGTGCTTCTGTGTGCTGTTCCCACTAATACATTGTGGCTTCCGGGCATGAAGTGTGGGTTTGACTGACCTATACCTGCTGCATGATGACTGGAGTCAGCAAGGGTTTTGTACAGCTTTGTCTTCAGAAACTCCATTCTGTTCCCATCATCTCTTGGGGGAACCCTGTGCAAATCTGCTCTCCAGAGAGCACTTCCAAAATATATGGTGTTCAATTCTGTGCTTTCCTTCCCTATTTGATGCGAGCAGTAAGGAGACAGAATGCCACTGAGCCTGGTTATGTAAGACCTGGAAGTCAGAGGCTCTGTTATTTCACTATGGGCTATTAGCTTACTTCTTAACATAGGAACAGACACATAGGAACAAGCCTCTCTTGTTTCATAGACTTGTCTTCATGTTAAGTGGAAAGAGCAGACAGAGTATTTTTGCACTCTGTCTGTTATGTCTTTCCTTCAAGTCACATTGCCCAATCAGACTGTATAACCGGGAGGCTTTCAACACTTCATGATTTGGAGAGAGCTTTGTGCTCTGGGGGATGTGTGGATCCCTTCACTCTCCCAACTACCATCTTGGTTCAGCTTTTGCCTATCTGTTAGAGGCCCACGACGGTGCCCGTACGGGGGTGTGGAACAGAGAACATCTGTTGATACCAAAACCATGCAGGCAGGGCCTAAGGTGGGTTTGGGTTTTGTTTCTGTGAACCATGGACTCTTTGCCAATTTGCCCTCTGAGGAGCTTGCTGCTCAGTTTTCCAACTGCCAAGTTACATTAGATGGCAAATAAATGCATTGTTTTGCCATGTAAGTTGTTCGTGTCCTTCCCTAGAGAGAGGCAATGAGGAAACAGTGCTGTTGGGAATGGGAAGAGAAGTGCGAAGGGATCATCTTTGTGCAGCAGTTTGTAATTTGAAAAACAAAACCAACCAGAGCCCAGCTCCTGGTGTGCAAGCTCTTGGTGCTTTCTATTTCAGGGAGCTTTGGAGCATGAAGAAAGTAAGACCCTTCGGTTTCAGCTTGAACTCTCTCAGCTTAAAGCAGAGTTTGAAAGGAAACTGACAGAAAAGGAGGAAGAAATGGAAAATATAAGGTACTGTGCAGGAAACAGCGTGGTTTTTAAGGGGAAAGTCTCAGAAGACCAGAAATAGTCTCATTCAAACGGACCATAGGTAGTTATGCCAGTGCATAACATGCAGCACTGCCTCAGCGATGCTCAAGCCTGCTATCTGAACACAGTTAATTTATGCAGTTACAGCTACACTGATTGTGGGAGG